CAGTCTCCTTTGGATGCCCAGTTCCACCCACCAGGTTCTGACCGGCCGGAGGACTCAAAAGTTCTGCTCCCTAGGACCAGAGATTTGGAGGAACACCGACCCTAGGCAAAACCGCAGGGGGTCGGGGGAGAGTGGGAAGGCAGGGGTGGGGTGACCGTAGTATCATATTATTATTCAGCATCAGAAAATCATCCAAACGGGATAGTAACTCAGGCCCTCCTGAGCTGGGTTTACATTTCCTGCCAGGCGCAGGGGCTCTGCTTTGGGAGCCCAGGCCCCTGGAGCCTGGAGTTCCACGGCGCCGGGGTCCCCGAGGCCTGGGCACCTCCACGTTCCCAGTGCAGCAGACGCAGGTCGCGCCGGGCCGGTGGAGGTCTGGCCCGCGGAGCGGAGATGCCAGGCTGTCGGGACGCAGCCAGGCCGCGGCGAGGGCGGCCGGCGCCGAGTGGAATGTCTTTATCGGGATCAGAGAGCCACAAGCTTCTCCTTCGCTTCTTTAAGCGATCGCGGATGGACACCTTTCGATCTTTTGTCAGGCATCTTGGCCCTTAATAGCTAAATTTATTTGGTTTAAAGCGGCCTTGGGAGAAGCAGGGAGGGAGGATCTTTCGTCGGTCATGGGTGGCCTAGATAACAAGCTTTAAAAGAGAGAGGGAAGAAGAAAGTAAAAAGGTTAATGGACGAGGGGCGGGCGAGGAGGCGCCCGGCGTGCGGCTTTCGCGGCGACCCTCCTCTGGCCGCCCCCTTATCGCGGCGCTGACTTACCCGCGGCGCAGGCAGCACATTAAGTCACGTAAACAGCGCGCGGGGAGGAATGCCACCGCGGTGACCTCTCGCGCGCCGCCGCCGCGGGCCCACCTCCGCGCCGGGCAGGCGGCCGCCGGGGGCGCGCGGGGGCGCCGGGGGCTGCGGGGGGCGCCCGGGGCTGCGGGGCTGCGGCGCGCCCCGGCCCGGCGTCCGCGCTGCGAGCTCCTCACCCCGAGTGACCCGCGGCGGGCAGAGGGGGCGGGGAGCCGCGCCAGGAGGTGGGGGCCACCCGGTTCCTCCGCTGCGAACTTTTCGCGCTCCCGCCGCCACCACCTGACATGTCTAAACAGTATTTTCGGGGTTTCGAGAATTAAAAAAAAAAAACGCAAAAAAAAACCCAAAACCCCAACAACCCCCAAACCCCAAAACAACCCGTTCCCCCCCCCGCCCCCACCTCAAACGCGATCAGAACTCTCTGCACGCGCTTGCATCGGATTGACAGCCGCTGAGCCGCGAGACGGGCCGCCCCGACCCGATTATTGGGCCGGGAGGATGGCTGGGGCGGGGGAGGGGGAGGGCCGGGGTGACCCTTGTCCTTCGGCACAAGCGTCCCAGGGACTGGGAGAAATCCGGTATAGACGAGAAGGCCCCAGAGATCTGGCTTTTTAAACGCTCTCAATGGAAAACCATGTTTTTAAGTCAGAAATTGTACTGTTTCTTTCTGAAACGTCGCTGGAGCAGCGAGGAGCTTTGTGAGCTGACAACACGACGAGCTTAAGTTTGCAGGGGTAAAGGCGTGTCCTTCTGCGGGTCTCCGCCCGGGTCTTGAAGCTCCTCTGGAAGCAGGGCGCGCCTGGGTCCCCAAACATCCCTTCGCTTTTGGCAACAAAGCCTCCGCCCCCTGCCCAATTGGCTGCTTTACTCTGGCTGGATTTGAATCGCGAATAGTAGTGTGGCGCGACCCAAATGAATCAGCCCTGGGGACAGGTCGCGTCCCAGAGCCAGCACCTCTCCGAGGACGAGGAGGGCGGCTCGAGGACGGAAGGCTCACTCCGAAGGGGCCACTCCCTGAGTCTAGATAGTCGGGAGAGAAATAATTTCGTTTCAGATTACCAAACTCACCAAAAAGGAGACCGGCAGAAGGAAAAGGAAAGGAAAAAAGAAACCCTGGGGCGGGGGGAGGAGACCCCTGAAGAAAATAGAACTTCTAAGAGAAAGGGACTTCTCCAGCTCTAGGGTTCCTCCCTAGTTTAGGGAGCATTTTTTCCCACTGAGTCCCCCTACCTAGACCAGCTGCAGTGCTCAGAGGAAACCGGGAGCGCGGGACCTGGGGTCCCTTAGGGGGTGGCTTTGAAAATGTGCCGCTCCCGCCCAGGGATGTTTTCCCCAGGGCCAAATCCAATGCATTGGGAAAATGGTAAACTGGATGGGTCAGTCTGGCATCCCTGCCTTTCTGTCTGAACAAACTCTGCGGGATAAACAGTTTTGTTTTGTTTTAAAGTTAACTGAAAAGAAAAACATTTTACCATCCATTCCTCCCTTTAGTTGGAAAACCAGTCTAAAAAAATTGTGACGGTGCAAAGGAGCAAATTACAACCTCCCGCCCTTGTTTTGGGCAGTTTTAAAAAGAGATTGGGAATCTGGATATTAAAATGCCGGGTCCCTTCTGGAGCCCTTAGGAACTATAGGCTGCCGGCAGAGTTGGTCAGAGTCTGCCTGGCTGCTCACCTCTGTTCCATCGGTGCCAGAGCCAGCTGCTGCGAGCTGGAGCTGCGGGGGGGAAAAGCAGGTCCCTGGGGGTTTAGCTATTGTCCAAGGAAATTCACCCAGACACCTTCATACTTGCTGATATAAAGAAACACACTCAACAGGAATCAGGTTCCGGGCTAGGTCTCCTCAGGGCTCAGGCTTGGAGGCCGTTCACAGCTTGGAATCTAACAGAGGATTTTTAAAAACTCATCTCCATTAGAAATCACCTCACTGAGATATGAATTAAGGAAAAAAAAAACTCCTCTGCTTTTAAGAGTAAACCTGAAAATCATTTCAAAACAGTTGGACTCAAAAGAAAGTCAAATGTCCACAACGTTTCTGTAACTGCTTGCAAATGAGATTTCAAAAAAACTTCAGTCTGCTTAAAAATTTGGTCGGAACTCACGTAACCCCCCTTCCCCCCCCCCCCCCCCGCCAAAAAAAAGGTATTGGAAGCCCTGGCCAGTGTTAAGCGGAAGGCGGACTCCAGGTCATTTCTTCTGCTAGTCCCATTCGATCGAACTCAGGTTAAATTTTAAAGCCCTGAATCCTGCTCCGGTGGCCAATCTCTGTTCCAGAGTTTTCTACCTTCACTCGACCCGAATTGAGGCCACATTGAAACTGGGAGCCACCACAGTGATTGAGGGAAGCAAAGAGGCATGTAATAAAAGTGACTAAATTGGATGAGAACGGTTTATGGACAGTCGTAATAGCAATTTAGAATTCAGAAGTGTTTAGCAGCAATCTACAACGAGGAATGGGGAAAAAAACCCAACCAAGAGTTCTCGCCAACTTCCTCGATTCCGCTTCTTCCCCTCACTGCCAGGGCCTGTCCCCTTTTCGCCGTAGGACACACAGGTTCACAGCTCATGATTATATTGAGAGGAAACATACTTTTAACGATGGGGCTCTCACAATCTCTCAAAATCATATTTTACAATGCCGCTAGCTACGCCCGTTCAACTCTGCTTAGGCTCCTCTCCCTTCCCCAAATGGAAAAACACAAAATAGAAGAAGGAGAAGGAGGAGGAGGAGGAGGAGGAGGAGGAGGAGGAGAAGGAGGAGGAGAAGGAGGAGGAGAAGAAAGAAGAAGAAGAAGAAGAAGAAGAAGAAGAAGAAGAAGAAGAAGAAGAAGAAGAAGAAGAAGAAGAAGAAGAAGAAGAAAGAGAGCCCAAATGCTTTCAGGGAGACTGACCTTTAGAAAATTATTTACTTCGATTCACCTGGGGGGAAAAATGTAAAAATCCATCCTCCCAAAGCAAATTCTCTGTCCGCTGCCTTCTGGGGTCACATCTGTCGGAAGAAATCTTTTTGTGAGCGAAAGGGACCGAGACATATATCACTGCTCCTGCGGCGGATGAACCTGCGGCCGCGCGCCTCGCTGCTGACAGATCCGCGCTGATAACCCCGCGACGTTCATTTCCAGTCCCTTCGCCCGCTCGGGACCGTATCAGTTTGTACACAGTTGTGATAACCATTTGGAGGGAGCGAAGAAGGGGTGTGTATGTGAGGGTGGGGGGTGGGGAAGCGGTTTTTCCCGCTGGGTCCAGGGAAGGTGAACCCCCTCCCTCTTTCCAACGACTTATCCGAGACTTACCTGCAGTTCTCCGGGATAAGCTCAGAGCAAACGGGGACACGAAAACTTGGAAAGCATCTCGGGGTGCGACTGGGGTGGAAGCCCGTTTCATCACGCGCACCTTCCGGGACTAGCCTTTACGTACACCACAACCCCGAATTCAGAGTTCCCAAGGGTTAGCTGGTAAGTGTCGACGTGAGCTTCCCGAAACCTCCTAGGAATTTAGTCTGTTTCTAAAAAGCCTGGCAGAGATAGGGAGTTGGGCACTGGATTTCCTTCTTTTCCATATTCTTTGGAGCCTCAATCCCCGACGGTCACCACGACCCGAGCCCCAAGGTCTCGAGGAGAGGTCGGGGAGAGTTTAAGGTAGTTCACATACAAAGGCAGAGCAAAAAGCTCTTCTAACGTGGACGAAATAGAGGGGAAGGGCCGCGGAGTAAAGCACTTTCCCCCTCATTCTGGGGGCACCATTGACCCGAAAGCTGGCGCGTCCCTCACGCCGCGGTGGCCGCGCAGGGCTGTGCACAGCCAACTCCTCTCGTGCCGCACCCCCCCCCCCCCGCCCCCGTAAGTGCGTGTGTAACTGGGGGCGGAGGAAAGTGCTGCGCAGCCGGATGGGTGTGGGTCGCCAGCCAGGTCAAGCGTTCCGCCACCTCCGCCCCTCCCCGTGCGTCCCGGGGCGCGGCGCCCCCTCGGTGGACTCGCCCCCACTCCTAGGAAGGTCCTCGCAGCTCGGCCCACACCCGCAGGCTGCGCGGCGCTCATTGTCTGCCCCGGCGGCGCGCTCCCCTCCCCCAGCCGCCCGAGGTCCCCTCCCCACCCTCTTTTCTCTCCTCCCCTCGCTCCCTCCTCCTCCTCCACCTCCGCCTCCTCCTCCTCTTCACCTCCAGCGCCCAGCTGCTCGCACAGCGCAGTTCCGACCCACAGCCTGGCACCCTTCGGCGAGCGCTGTTTGTTTAGGGCTCGGATGAGTCCAATCAGGAGCGCAGGCTGCAGTTTTCCGGCAGAGCAGTAAGAGGCGCCTCCTCTCTCCTTTTTATTCACCAGCAGTGCCGCGCAGACCCCGGACTCGCGCTCGCCTGCCGGCGCCCGCAGCCTCTCTCCGCGCTCGGGAGCACCCTCCGCCGCAGCCGTTCTCCATGCGCAGCGCGCGCCCGAGGTTCGGCTGCTTTCTCGCTCGCTCGGGCTCCCCTCTTTCCTCCCCCCTACCCCCTAACCCGTCGCGGGCCCCTCAGCCCCGGGCTCTCCGGCCCTCTGCGGGCCGCGGTCGGCTCGGAGGGTGTCTCCCTTCTTCTGTCGCGGCTCCCAGGTTCCCGGGACACCGCGGACCAACTTCTGCTGTCTCTTCCTCTCTCTCTAAAGCGCTTATCTGCGCGCAGCCTTATCTCCGAGTTATCTGGCGCAAAGGGGCGGGAGCCGGCAGTCAGGCGGGCAGCGAGACTTCTTTCTTGCTATCTAGACCGGGTCTGCGTGTGGGCATTAATTTTAGTATGGTTATCTCCGATGAGCCGAAGCGATCTGGAAAAGCAGCTCGGAGGAGGCCCGCCTGGCTGCATTTCGCCTCCCTTCCCCACTCCCTCCGCGTCTCCCCGTCTCTCTTCCTGCTCTCCCCTTTGGGGTGGCCTCGGCCCCGGGGCGGTCTCACGCCCCCCGCTCCCGCCTCGAGCCCCCTCCCCCCCCCCCGCATTTCCCCCTCCTTTTCTCAGCGCTCCGCTCCACCCCGCTACGTCCGATTCCGGAACGGTCCGGCCTCTCCGCGGCTGGGGATGACCACGGGGTGGGCGGGGGTGGCCCCGCCGGCGTGAGCGCACGCGCTGGTGGCTGCAGGCGCGAGCCGTGCCTAAGGTGTGCGGCGCCACGGGGAGGAGGGTTGGGCGTGAGACTGCGGCCCCGCGGGCACCCAGCAGTGCCTGGGCCCGGAAGGTCGGAGCCTGCGGTCTCCGCCCCGGCGCCCCACCTTCCCTGGGCTGCAGTACACTTCAGTCTGGAGCTCGCGTTGCGTCCGTCCAGGGCGGTCCGGGGAGCTCCGGGGAAGCCGGTGTGGGAGAACGCGGCGGTTTCGTTTTCGGGGACAGGTTGCCTTCCTTACGCTAATGATTGTCACTCGGGCGGACCGCACACTGAGGCGTCCCGGGCGGGGACTCCCGCAGGGAGGCGGGAGAAGGCAGCGCCGACGAGCACAACTACTTTAAAAAGTTCTTTTGTGCGCATCGGCCGGGAGAGAGCCACTTTGGGGCGGAAGGGCAACCTCGGCGGGTCTCCCCGTCACCCCTGGGAACTGGCGCGCGGAGATGGAGGATGCTGCGGAGGGGGTGGGCGGCCGGGCGAGGGGCCCCGGGCGGTGCAGGCCGGGCAGGGCGGATTTCCCGGGCGGGGGAGGACCCCGCGGCGGATACCCAGGCCCCGCTCCCCTCCCCTTCCCCAACGCCCCCCACCCGCCCCGCCCCGCCCCGCGCCCGCGCCCGGGCCGGAGACGGGATGTCGGAGGAGTCTCCTCAGCTCGAAGAGGCAGTGGGAGCGAGGTGCCATGCGGCCTGCGCGTTTGGTAACCCTTTTTGATTTCTCCTCCCGTCCCTGCCCCCCCTCACCCAGCCTCAGGAGCTAGGAGTCAGCTTGGAGAGGCGCCGGACCGTGGATGGCCTTGACTGACGGCGGCTGGTGCCTGCCGAAGCGCTTCGGGGCCGCCGCCGCGGACGCCGGCGACTCCGGAGCCTTTCCGGCGCGGGAGCGCTCCTCGCCGCCTTCCCCCATCTCCTCGTCCTCCTCCTGCTGCTCCCGGGCTGGGGAGCGTGGCCCCGGCGGCGCCGGCAACTGCAGGACGCCGCAGCTCGACACGGAGGCGGCGGCGGGACCCCCGGCCCGCTCGCTGCTGCTCGGCCCGTACGCCTCGCATCCCTTCGCGGCGCCCCACGGACCTTCGGCGCCCGGGGTCGCAGGCCCCGGGAGCGCCCTGTCGAGCTGGGAGGACCTCCTGCTCTTCACTGACCTCGACCAGGCCGCGACCGCCAGCAAGCTGCTGTGGTCCAGCCGCGGCGCCAAGCTGAGCCCCTTCGCGCCCGAGCAGCCCGAGGAGATGTACCAGACCCTCGCCGCCCTGTCCAGCCAGGGGCCGGCCGCTTACGACGGCGCGCCCGGCGGCTTCGTGCACTCTGCAGCCGCCGCCGCCGCCGCCGCCGCCGCGGCCAGCTCCCCGGTCTACGTGCCCACCACGCGCGTGGGCTCCATGCTGCCCGGCCTGCCGTACCTCCAGGGGGCCGGCGGCGGGCCCGCCAACCACGCGGGCGGCGCGGGCGCGCACCCCGGCTGGCCGCAAGCCTCGGCCGACAGCCCCCCGTACGGCAGCGGGGGCGGCGCGGCGGGCGGCGGGGCCGCGGGGCCCGGGAGCGCCGGCTCGGCCGCCGCGCACGTCTCGGCGCGCTTCCCCTACTCGCCCAGCCCGCCGGTGGCCAACGGCGCGGCGCGGGACCCCGGGGGCTACGCGGCGGCGGGGGGCGGGGGCGCGGGCGGCGTCGGCGGCGGCGGCGGCGGCAGCCTGGCGGCCATGGGCGGCCGCGAGCACCAGTACAGCTCGCTGTCGGCCGCGCGGCCGCTGAACGGGACGTACCACCACCACCACCACCACCACCCGAACCCCTACTCGCCCTACGTGGGTGCACCGCTTACTCCCGCCTGGCCCGCGGGACCCTTCGAGACCCCGGTGCTGCACAGCCTGCAGAGCCGCGCCGGAGCCCCCCTCCCGGTGCCGCGGGGCCCCAGCGCAGGTAAGCGGAGCGCCGCGGCGGGGCGGGGGGCCTGGGGCTCTGGGGCGCACGGGGTGAGGAGCAGCCCGTCGCCTCGGGCCCTGTTCCTGGGGCTTTTCTCTCTGGGTGCCCCGGGAGGACTCGCGGAACTCTGGCAGGGCCACCCAGAGCCCGGCAGTCTAGGCGAGGGGCTTCAGTTGGGCGGATCGTTGTTTCAGTCCCTTGCCACGAAGGAGACTCAGTGCGCGTAGACGTGTCAGTGCCTCAGAGAAGCTCGGGGGACGTGAACGGGGAATGGGACGGGGAGGAACTGACAGGGCCTGAGACTTGTCACAGGCCCTGATTTCCCCAAGCAGGAGAATAGGACTCTGTGGAGGGCGGGCGGGGGGGGGGGGTCAGTTTAGGAAGTGTTGATTCACCCCTCCTCGAATACGGTCTCACCCAGTTCAGCTCCCCAGAGGTGAGGAATTGTGTGTCCCTCAAGGAGAGTATTTAAGAGCTGCACAGTGGAAAAGAACCTAAGGAGCCGGTCGGCTTCCTCCTAGGTGAGAGGGAGAGTAGAGAGGCTACCCGGACTGGTCAGCCTCCTGACTATCCCGAGGGAAAGCTGGCGGAGGGGTCCTTTTGCTTGACATCAGCTGAGCAGAACTGTCTGGGGTTGCTGCTGCTCCTGCCCGGCCCCTGCCAGGCTGCCCCCCCCCAACGCCGCCCCGGGATCCTGGAGCCCCCACATCTCTTCTTCCTCCAGAGCTCAGCCCACCGACTTTTCAGTTTTCCGGGCCACCCAGACTTTCATTCCAGTGTCTGGGGGCAACGCTGGGTGAACTGGGAAAAAAACAGTGGTCAAAATACCTGGAAGCACCCCCATTTTGAAAAGCGTTTTGTGCTCAAGCAGAGGAGGTTATAAACGGTATTGTCTGGCCTGACAAGGCCCTCTTGCTTCTTTTCTCGGCAGCTGCAGCACTCTGGGTCCTTCTAGGTGCGTTCTCAGGTCTCTTACTTTGTATTTAACCTGTCTGATAACCCGACAGACTCCTAAGACAACCTTTTGGGTGGGGGGGTAGGGGCTGTCGTTTGTTTGAGGGGAGGTGTGGGAGTCACAGAGGTGACAAAGAGGCAGGAGGCACGTCAGCCTAAATTATCCTACCTGGTGTCTTCACACTCCAGATTGGGGTTTTTCATGGAGCCTCAGTGCTCGGTTTTTGGGACAAGCCTTTTAGGGGCCCTAACTAGTAGGAGAAAGTGATGAATCGCCAGCCCTGTATTCAAAAGACATACTGGAAATGCCAGGGGCCCCAAAGTGAAGGATGTGTCTTGAACAGCCCTGCTGGTAACACTGGGAGGGTGCAACAGGCGTTTTGGTAACAAGTTCTTCCTTTCGTTCTCTACTTCCTAAGATTCTGGTCTCAGAATTCGCTCTTTCCTCTGAGAAGCTGGCCCTGGAGACATCTTCACCATTGTGTAGAGTGGGTGTGCAGAGCCCTGCTGAGGAGAGACTTGAGAGCAGAGCAGCATAGGGACGCACGGCTGGTTTCCTGGCAGGAGCTGAGGGACTGGAAGATGAGGAATCTTCAAAGAATGGGAAGGAGGTTGGGGGTTGTTAGGATGAGGCTTTTGTCAGCCAAGAATCCAACGGGGAATCCGAAAGGGTACAAGAGTTGGGTTAGGGGCGAGATCCTACAGCTCTACCTGTTTCGGGACACACCTTAGGCTGGTCTCCGTACCCCTCTTCTCCAGTCTTCTGGCATTTCACAGGACTGAGGAAGAGAAGTAGTCCCAAAGGACATAATCGGAGTCTTCTGACGTTTAAAGCAACTTCTTTAGTATAGAAAATCTTTTCAGGGGCCGTAAGCGTGCAATTGCAGGCGACTTACAAATTTCATTTTAAACCTAGCTTATTCTTTCACCAACTTTTCAACCTTCTGGATGGGACATTGCAAAGTCAGAAAAATCTTCCATAGATCCAGCATATGTTAAAAACAACCAAAAAGGGGAAGGGTTTTGGGAATACACACCTTTTGCCTAAAGAGTCTTTTAAGAAAGCAGGAAGCTACTGAGAATCAGCCAGGCTGGGAGTGGGGGAGCAAAAGATCTAATTTTGGTTGTCCTCAGAGGTGTTCTCCTGCGAGGGAAACCTTGACCTCCAACCCCTCTTTCTCCTCCTAGCTTCCTAGCTAGATTTCTCCTTCTCCACTTTGATGGTTTAAAAAAAAGCGCCCCCCAAACGGACCTTTGTTGAAGGCACTATTTTGCCTTCTGTTTGGGCAGAAGGGCTAAAACCCGAGAGCACTGAGCCTTTTCAATCTACACAGTGTGGAGGACTCCAGTTACCTGCTCCATACACCTCTCCCTGATTTTGGTGGTGGATGGGTGGTAGGGAATCCTGGGGTGATTATGCTGAGTGCTTGAGTTCCCGAGACCAGCGCCCTCCTAACCTCCTGCTGAATTGTGTTCCATTCTTTGGGTCCTGGGATGGCATTCCCTGGCCATACCCTTCTCCCTGGAGCCTCTTATTATTATTTTTTTCTAGGGGAATCCAAAGCAGTTGTGTTGGGAGACGATGATGAGTAGGGGGGAAACTGATGAACGAAAGTCCAGTGCAATCAGATTTTCTAATTGTTAAAAAAAAAGTTTTTCTTATTTTAGTCCGTTGAAGGATTATAGCTGCTTGGTAAGTGGTAGGGAGAAAGTTGGGAGCTCTAGATTCGATTTAATGAAACAAACAAACTTCCTAAATTTTATTTATCCAAAGGGGCTTTTGGTTTTCAGATGACTAAAGAGATTTACCTGGAGAGTTCCCACTGTCTTCTCCTGGGAACTTTTATTGTTTCCAGCCTGGGGGAAGGAGGCCAGGCATAGGGCTGGGTTCTCCAGGGAATGCCCCACTCCTCTATCGAGAGGGTCTCTGATAGGTAACATTTTAAAGTCAACAACTAAGACAAATACCTTGTTTAACTTCAGTGTCCTTGAAGTCCTGAGCATTTTACTGATTACCGTAGTCAATAGTGGCTTTTAGGGTGGAGAAGAATAAATCTTTGTGATGTGTTGTAAGTCGCGGTATCCCCGTGACAACTTTGAACTCCAGTTATGTAGGATGCTAGTTTCTTTTAAACTTATTTCTTGAGGAGGAAAGAGACTTGTTTTGTAGCGTAAATTGCATTAATGGACTTAGAGAGTATTCATGCCCAAAACATATTTAAATATCTTTACAAGTAGTTGATGGTAGGAACAAGCTGTACACTCCTCGGGAATGAGAAAGAACATAAAGATTTGCTGGCACACATCTTCAAATAAAGCTTTAAAATGTAACATTTATTTACTTTAAAAATTGATGCAGAAATTCTTGGTAAAGCCACATTTGGACATTTAAGTCCTTTATAAATAACCCTAAACAAAAGGATATTTTTATTTTTTATGAAGTTTATTTTAAAAGCACTTTTTAAATTAGTAAGTACCCATCTCATTTTAGATAGTATTTATTTATTCATATTTAACAAATTTAAGTGGAAGTAATAAATATTACAACTATTTACTCTCAAGATTTTTTTCTTAATAACAGGCTTGGGTTAGTTGTAAACACCAAAAACTAACCAAAAGCAAAATGACAAACGCAATTCAGATAGATTGCCTAAACTGAAGTTCAGTGTAGGAAAATATGAAAGTTTTGTTGAGTGTTACTAAACGATTTTAGTAATGTCCTGAATCAAGAAGATATCAACCGTTCGTAGGAATTTTGCAGATGGAAGCAGTGGAACTCAGAATATTTTAGCGTTTGCTCCTTGTGGCGTGAGAAGAAAATTTAACATTTATCTCGGTGCTTGTTAATGTTGGTGCGTTTTTCCCCCTTTGGGAGACCGGAGTCATTTTCTAATTAATGGATAAAGTGCCTAAGAACATATTTCTAATTTCACTTGTCCTTTTTTTTTTAATTGGAGAAAAGGAAGGGTGACAGATACAGTAAATACATTAAAATAAAAATTACGTGGGATAAAAGTAATAAGGTAGCCGGCCTGTATCTCAGGTTATTTGTGGGTTTGGTTGCAGGGGTCAGTGATCAGTGTCGATATTGTATGGCTGGTTGGGGTTTGGCAGGTGGTACACTGTAATTATGATGGATTTCAGTTTTGAAACGCTTGGGAACAGCCGGAAAGGAGGGGGTCAGGGGACCCAAACCAGCTTGCCCACAGCTCCTCTCCATTCCGAGGTCCTTGGAGACCAGGCAGAGGAGATGATTCGGGCTCGGCCTCCAGCACCATCTCCTGCCACTTTTCTTGGGGTTCTCCTGGGCGCGCCCAGGGCTGCAGAAGTATTGGATACAGGCTCAGCGGATCGATAGAGAGACGACGGCCGGCTCCCGGCTCGGCCGCCGAGCGGGAAAGACCCGCGGGGATGGAAGGGCGCGGGCGGAGGCGGGCGGGAGCTGGGGCCCGGGCTGCAGGGCGCCGGGGAGCCCGGGAGGGGCGCGAGCGGCGCGGCCTCACCGGGGCTCCCGTCCCCGCTCTCGCCGCAGACCTGCTGGAGGACCTGCCCGAGAGCCGAGAGTGCGTGAACTGCGGCTCCATCCAGACGCCCCTGTGGCGGCGGGACGGCACCGGCCACTACTTGTGCAACGCCTGCGGCCTCTACAGCAAGATGAACGGCCTCAGCCGGCCCCTCATCAAGCCGCAGAAGCGCGTGGTGAGTGCGAGCGCCGCCCTCCGCTGCGGCCCGGGCGCCCCCGCGGGAACAGGTGCGGCGGGGACCCAGCTGGGACCCAGCTGTGCCCTTCCCGCCCGCGAGCGCCCGAGGCCGGGGAGCGGAGACCGCCCTTCCCCACATTTCCACCTAGGGCAGGACGTCTGTCAGTGCGGCAGGAGCAACGTGTAGGAGCTACATTTTTTTTTAAAACAAGTCCGTGTGTATATGTCTCTAGGTGTACTTCTAAATGCACTAGAGTCATTGTGGAAGGAGACACAAGAAATTAGTAATGACGGTAACCTCTGGGGAGAAAAAACTGAGTACACCGAAACCAGGTCAGATGAAGGAAGGGGATGTTTTTCACTATGTACAGTTTGGTGTGGTTTGGATTTTATTTTTGAGACTCGAACCCCCTCCCTCTCCCCTTAGAGTATCACAACCACAAACCCACACTCCCTTTCCCCTACACCCTCGTTCAGGGTTCCTTTGATTCTGTTCCTTATACTTTTGGATCCCTTTTACCTCTCCTCCTGGGAATGAGCTTGTAGCCCCAAATTCCATCCTTCTTTTGGATTGTCTTTGAGTTTGATCAAAACTTACTCTCACCTTTGTTATTTTGAAATCTAGCTGTTCAGGAAACTACATAGCACTTGGGGGAAAAAATGCAGTCTTATGTGCTTCCCAAGTTGGGGATTTTCACCAATCCAAACACATTTTAAATGTATTCTATGTGTTTTAAATTATGGGAATTCTGATTTTTTTTCAGGGATAAATCTCTTCAGAGTTAGGGGTGGTTTTAGGAGAGGGCATTTACTGCTGTAGTGATTAGAGAAAATAAATGAAAGTGTTCACAGGCCCCACTGTAGGGCTAACATTTGTTTAACCAAGCACTCATACTCTTAATACCTTTTAAAGTAAAATATTTTACAGTGAGATGCCAGACATCTTAAGTATCCAAGTAATTTATTTAATTGTTATACTGTAATTAGCAGGAACAAATGCTACACATGTTGTTTGTGTTAAATAGATTAGGGTGAAATTGCATCACAATGGAAGTCTGACACCTTAAAGAGAAGCAATTAGTTTTATGGTTGTTTTGTTTTTAATGCATTTAAAATAAAGTGGCTGAGGTTAATTTAATGTGGGTATGTGCCTTAAACTTGTTAGAACCTCCTGCCGCTTGAAATTGTCTTCAGAGGGCATCCTTAACTTCAGCATCTGACTCCCTATGGTTTTCATTTCTTATGCATCATATTTAAAAAGTAGTGGCCAGAAACTATCCCAAGAAGTTTGTCGTTTTGGTGTGTCAACAGTGAAACTGATTTTTTTTTTGGAAAGGTACATTGAGCTGAATACTAGCTGAGTTCAGCAAGATAACCTTTTCTTGAGATTGAGGGGAAAACTGGTAGAAGAGTAGCTGATTAAGTTCTAGTTGCATTCTAAATCTGATCTAGTAACACCCATTATTTAGATAGTGCCATTTGTTTTGTGCACTTACCAGTAAAAATAACTTAACAGAAAAGAGTTTTTGACATCTTCAATTTGTTGGTTTCCCTTCTGTGTGGCAGGTGTCTTGGCCATGACCAAGGTCAGCCATTGTGCTTTGTAAATGGGTTATAAATGATACCAATTGAAGGGTGTGTTCATCAATTAGTTCTTGTGGGCTTCTTATTTATGGTTTTGATGGATCTAGCTTAGTTCTCAGAATGTTGAACCCAAGTTTGTTTAGCTAGCAGTCCAGAACCAATCACTGTGAATTTGAACTTGTAATATATTGCAAAATAAGAGATTTATGGTGTAACTTGAATTCCTTGTCAGTGATGAATATAACTGAGATCACTTGTTACAAGGAACTTTTATAACCCATTCACCTTCATTTCACATGTTTATGGAGACTGGCTTCACTTATGATTTGCAGTTGACGGTCATAAAGTTCTTTGTTATAATGGTAAATTCTGATAACAAGTTTACTTCACATTGGCTTCAAATTCCACTGGAAACTGTCATAAATGGCCTGTTTATAAAATGAACCTTCTTGTCCCTAGTTTACTGATTTCACGTTTATGAAGAAAAAGGAGTGCTCTCCTAGGAAATTATTTTAAAGGAAAGAAACAAATCTCGACATGCAAAAAGTTTTGTTTTTATCATTTTAACAAAACAGTTCCACAGATGGTTTGCCTGTCAGCCAAGCATGTTCATTTCAACCAAAAGTCAAATCGATTTTTCTTAGCATTGACTTCTTAACAAATGTTGTAGTGCTAAGGGTTTGCCAGTGTCTGCTTGTTTTTATGGCTTGTCTGTAAAGAATAATGCTACAGTCATCAATAGGATGTGAATTGTAAATGCAGAATTCAATTTTATCTTTTAAATATGTCAGCAAAGGATTTGGTAAATCTGTCCTTTAACCTGTGAATATTCAACACACCCCCAGTTCGTATTTTTGTTGTACAAGACTATTCTTTTCTGAAATTAATTGATGTAGCTAACTTACCAAATTCTGTTGAAAAAATTTTCGACTTATTTTGGTCCTTGGATTTTTCCCTCACAGCTTCTTTACTGAAGTCATAATACTGTTTTAGTTGCCTCTCTAGGTAATTTAAAAACAAATACAGATTTTGGCCTTTTGGAGAGAAACTTATACTAGCTTAAACCCTTCTTTATCACTCACACATAATTTAGATGAGATAAATTCCCTCTTAAGGATGTTATGGGCATAAAGGTCACATGGAAATCGGAATGACAGTGCCTTTTCTAATATCATTTAAATCTTTGTATGAACAGAAGTTGAATACCGTACTGATAGGACAAAGAAAATATATCCCTATCACCGTAAATAAGACTGCCAGCATTAAAACAGTGCCACAAAATTTGCTTATACTTTGTAAAAAGAATAATACAAAAACTTAGAGGCAGCAGGCAACCTTGCAAATTATGATATATATTACAATATATTTCTTTATAAAAATTTTGTACATTTTACAAGATCCGTTTCTTTATACCTGTCAGTCTATCTACCTGACTGCCTGCCTTTCTAAAGTTTTTGGGTTATTCCTCTGCACATACCTGAGAAATAGACTTGATTACAAATGACAAGTGGAGACCACCCAAAGCCACTTAGGACACTGGCAGGCAGTTTGTGATTGTGTTTCATGACTCTTATAATTCAGACCTGAAAACAGTGAGCGCAGTTATTGGCCAACATTGTCCTGGTTATTCTATACGCTGGGAGAATATCCTGGAGCAAATCAAACAATGTGGGATGGAGCACCCTACATAAAATTCCAGTTTCTTGGTTCAAGAAGTTCAGTCTAATCAGACTTTAATTTTTTCCCTATATTTTAAAATTATTGTAAACAAAAGATCCATGCTTGCTGATGACAGGGAAATGATACGTTGATGTATATGGCATATACATAAAGTCATTTATATCTGTACACTTTCTTCTGCTACTTTTTAGCCTTCCTCCCGGCGGCTTGGATTGTCTTGTGCCAACTGTCACACCACGACCACCACTTTGTGGCGCAGAAATGCGGAGGGTGAACCTGTGTGCAATGCTTGTGGACTCTACATGAAACTCCATGGGGTGCGCCACGTATTGTGCTCATGTGTATACGTGTTTAGAATCTTATTTGTACATAGTTTCAGTTAAAAAAAAATCAGCCAAGGAGAGGGGATAAAAGTGAAGAATCTGATTTCCTATATGCACGTTACTGAGTTTAGGATGTTATTAATTATAAACCATTATCTTACATATCAGTAAGAAACAAAGAAATGCTGCCAGTTAAACTGCCACACATCCATTTTAAGACATCTCAGTTTTAGAAATGCTAAAATGTGAAAAATGTGCATTTTAGAATCAATAACATAGTAGTAACTTTAAAAAATATGTATATACTACAAGAAAAAAAAAGCATGGCACCAACCAGAAATGCATAACTAGTTTATACCTTAACTTTAAATTTTTTGATGCAATCAAGTACATTTATGTCAAGGAGCAATAATATATTTGATAGTTATAGTTAGCAACACTGTCCTTCATTTGGAGGAAACCATGAAATATTATAAACACATCAATCTTAAAAAGGAAATTAACCTTGTATGTGTAGGAGGAAGAGAATACACAATCTCTTTGCAATAAAAATATGTACCTAGTGGTTTTACTCTGTGATTGAAGTTGTTTAAAACAATAAACAGTAAGTTGAAGGAATAAATTTTCCTTGACAAGTCACCTCATTTTCTCTGAAGGAATCTGCATTTGCTGGGGAAAGTATAGTCTTTGTATAGGTTGGGATCTATTGAGTGTGTATAAAAATTGACCGAAATTTATGGCAACTTCTTTTAAATGAGGGCTTTCAGTTCTGATGTTGAGTCTTTAGTTAAAGTTGAGTTTTTCTTCAGTATAATATTTATTAAACTTAAGGCCTGTTTGAAATTCTTTTTTTTAGGTGCCTCGACCGCTTGCTATGAAAAAAGAGGGAATTCAAACCAGGAAAAGAAAACCTAAGAACATAAATAAGTCAAAGGCTTGCTCTGGTAAATACAATAAAATGCTATTTGATTGTAAAGTATTGGCCAACTGTAACGGTCGAGTATGTGTGTATTTATGAGGTTAATTTTGACTCTTGCAGGTAGTAGCAATAATTCTGTTCCTATGACTCCAACTTCCACCTCTTCTAACTCAGATGACTGCAGCAAAAATACTTCCCCTACAACACAACCAACAGCCTCAGGGGTAAGTGTTAAAGCAGTACAGACACTTTCTAAGCTAGTGGGTTGCTCTCTAGTATATTATCACAAGTTTTATCTTATCTGGTAGTACAATAATCTAAACCAACAGTTCAGTTTAGTTAGCTGATACCTAGGAATAGTTTTTAGAGGAGATTACATTTGAATGTCAACAAAATGACAAACCTAAGTACTTTACAAACCTCTTAATTAAGATCTATATCATTTTTTATGGTTAAATTAACCCAAGTAAAAGCAAGAAGTTTTGGTGTGAAGTGCTTGAAGTTGTTTTATTTCCAGGTTTCTGTCTCGAGCTGCTTGTATAGATGTATTTCTGATGTAGATCAAGAACACTATGAACTCAGGCTTTATATATCTCGGTGCCCAAGGCATTTAAATTTGCTTATCGTAGCGACTCCATCTTTTTGCCTTTCTTCTCTCTTTTTTTTTAAGTCATTTCAAAAAGCAAAACTCATCATAATGTGTTCTGTGCTGCTGTAGTCACTGATCTTACCCACTGGCCTTCTGCTTGGGGGCCCTTGCCTTCTAAGGCACCTTCATTGTACCTTGGCTTATTTCAGCCTTGCCACAAGCCTGGGAGCAATTCGTGTTTTGAGTAATTCACACCCCTAAGGATAGGGATGCCTGGGCTTGGTGAAGATCACAGTTTCTGTAAAGGTGTGATTGAAACCCAGTTTTCCTTGAGTGTTGAGCACATTCCGCCGTAAATTTGTTTTCCAAATTTACCTGGAATGCTCTTTTAATGATCGGGCCTTACCCTGGACCTCAGTGTGATCCGGAGCGAGATCTGGGCCGCAGGACTTTTTTTTTTTTTTTTTAAGGATTATGCTGAGACTGGTTTAAGTCAAAACACCAGCATTAAAATCCCTATTTACTTAGTAATTGTTTTTTACATTTAGCTTTGCCCTGTTTGGGGTACTTTGAAATGCTACAGATTCCTGGGCCCCACCCTGGATTTTCTGAGTCAGAGTCTCTGGGGGTGGGGCTTGGAAGGCTGTGTTTTTGCATAAGCGCCCCAGGTGAAATTGAAACTGTTGCCCTCGAGGTGTCTTTAACCTGGGTTCAGGAACCACAGAGCCGGTTTCTTTTCATTGTATTTTGAATGGCTTAAACAAGCAAAAGGGAAACATTAAAAAATTTAAGTTTGATATTTCTGTCTTTCCTCCATCCCAAATTCTTTTGGCTTTTTCTTTTGCTTTAATGATGCAAGAAGTATGTTCAGTTTCACAAGGCAAAAAGCCTTTCTGTCATTTTCATTTGTTGCAGATAAGGTGTTAAAGAAGGCTTCTAGCCTTTTTAAAGGTGGACTCTGGTGTAAGATTTTTTTTTGTTTATTTATTTATCTTTTACAAAAGGGTTAGTTGTGATTTCAAGAGTCTATAAAGTGGCTACTTGTGTGGGAATGAAAAGATAAAGATTATTTTAAAAATATTCTTTATGTCCTCAGTCCTCAGCAGCACTTAGGTAGTAGCTAAATGAGGCAGGTAGTAGCTAAACGTGCTGGTTTTGAAAGCACTGGGGGAGCCGTCAGGATTTTTGGCTTTGGTGTTGGTCTCTTGTAGCTGAAATAATCACTGCCAGCTTTGGGTCACTTTTGTTTGTTAAGGCCGGCTTAAGCCTGGAAAAGGCCAAATTTGAATGATAAATGGCACCGAAATACAGGCATTTGCCCAACAATGGACTTGGGGGACTCGGGGTTTGTTTTGCTTTCATGGTTTTGTGCTGTGAAATTTCAGAACTGGCTATTTGTGAGTCTGATCGGTTGTCCTCACCGGACAGGCGTTGGGGAGAAAGTCGGGGAGGGGTCTGGCTCTGGCCTGCCTGGAAGAGGGGGTCTCAGGAGCTGTGCTGGCCATCCTCCGCCTGCTTTGGGGGCACCTCCTACCCGGGGCCTCGCATGCTGGAGGCAGCTGGCCGGTCCTCACCCCTCGAAGGAACTCTCTGTCCTGCGCTGGAGGCCGGGAGGCAGGGCGAGCAGGACTTTGGAGGTTGGTGGAGTCTGAGAGCAGTTCCAGGCGAGGTCTTGGGCTATAAGCCCCCAGCACTCCTTAGCCCAAGCAGCGGCCTGCGTGGGAGCCGGCAGTGTGAGCTGCCGACCAGGCAGGGTTTGTGTATGAGTGAGTGTGTGAGCCTGCAGAGCCCCAGCGGCCTCAAAGGCTTCCCAACACCTTTTCCCAGGGCAGGGGGCACAGACTGCCTGCCTTCTCCCTATATACAGGGACCCACTCCTCCCTCTGGCCTGGGTTCCACAGGCACCTGGGCTTTGGGGGTTCCCTAGTCCGCTAGCCCACCACACAGGTCTCTAGCAGCCCCTATGTGACATGGCTGTAGTGGGGAACCAGGCCGACAGGACAGAAGCCCATCTGCTGGCTGCCTTTGGAAAGTGTCCCTTCCCAGAATAATTGTAGACCCTAATGGGGAGACCCTAGTCTCCCCAGGTGACTACCTATGGAGGAGTGTGTGTGCCCCATGGTCCCTGAGTACCTTCACGGCCTTCTCTGGGTGGAGACTTGGTTGGTGTGTGCCCTGAGGAGCCTTGAGGAGGGCCTTGGGGGGCGGAGAGCAGGGAGCTCCCTGCCACTGGGGGAAGCACTTGAGAAAGGTGGCTGTGCCCACAAGATGTGTCCTTTTCCCCATTTTGGTCAGTTTATGATGTTGGAGGGCAGCTGGTGTTGTGCCAGGATGATTACAGGATTTGGGGAGGTGCTGTAGGGTGAAGAAAATGTTGCATCCGCCTGGCAAGGTTGCGGCACTGGTATGCAGTACGCAGCACCCTGGTTGGCTCGCCCTGGTTAAGCCTCCTTTGATGTCCCGCTGATCTCCAGTGTGGCCCTGTGGTTGACGTGGTGGAAATGAGTAGTTCAGGGTTATTTCACTTTAAGAGGGTCAGCCGAGCTACAAAACAGTCATCTCAGGCATACTCCCAGTGGAAGAGTGGAACTGGGGGGCCACAGGTGTAAGTGGCAACATAGCTGCCTTGCTCATCTTTCCTTAATGGTTGTAATAGCAAGGAAGTCAGATTGTTGCAGTGGTCCACAGCACACCTGCTGTTCCTTTTTAATCCCGCCACCCTCAGAAAAGCAGTGTAGGAGATGATCAGTAGGCGTTCCCAGCAGGCTCCTTTTAAATCCTTCTGTTCCTTCCCTCTCCTGTGGGGGGGGAAGGGGGGGCAACAGGTTCCCATGGCTGGTTCCTGAGCTAGCCTGGCAGGACCTGAACGTTCTGGAGGGAGGGTAGTTTTCTGCTGCTGAGAGCAAAGGCTCTAGGGCTCCCTCCTGGGCAGCAGTAAGGTGCGGGCAGGATTCCTAGCATGCAGCATTTGGCATTCTTCCTAGACAAGTGTCTCAGGGCCACAGAAATCATTTTGGTGGTGCTCTGAGGCCTTATGTCTTCCCTTATTTGTCATGAAGCTACAATGTCTTAGCTTTATGTATTTGTTGCTAATTTGTGTTTTAACTTAGATCTCTTGGAAAAAAGAAGACATTCTTTCTAATGGTCATCAGGTTGCTGACTCAGCTACCTGATGACTCAGTTTCTCTTTGTAGGTTTTCTGTGTGGTGTGTTATGTGTCGGAGACAGGGAGGGCAGTGTGTTTCCTCTCTGAGATTGGGAAGGCTGACTGCTATGCAGCCTAGTATTAAAATAGCCCCTGGCTTGTTCTTTTTGGATTTTTGTGATTAAGAAATATGTCACACTTACATTTTGATAGACAGTTGATTATTCTTTGTGCCTTTTGAACTTAAAGATGCATTTTCCAAGAAAAGTCTTATGTACTAAATTTTCTCTCGTGTAGGTTTACTGAAAAATATGTATTTAGTTGACTTAAATATATAACAGATTCTCTTTAGCATTTATAGTCTTGGTGGATAGTAAGAATATTTAAATCTTTCATTGAATTCCATTTATTGACTAAATCACACTAGGTTTTTTTTGTTATTATTTAGAAGGGAAATATGGGAACAGTGTTCTATTTTAGCACTTCCCAAATAAGATTTATTTTTTCCAAATAAGATTTCATAATTTCTAAATATTCTTACCCTTCCTATGACTTGTAACTAAAAATTAGTAAAGCTGGAGAAATCTTTACATATATAAAAATATAATAGATGTGTATATATGATGTGTGCATATTATACATCATATATACTCATTCATACATTTCATACATCATATATATAAGCTTATGTTTTATAGCTCAGTCCCCAAATTTTATAGTTAAAAGGCATTTCTCTTATTTTTCCTTTGTGGCAGGAAGGATTAATTTGGGGGTGAAAATAGCAGTGAGATTTAATGTCTGAGAATAAGATACCACTGAACATATTGCCTGCCTAAAAGTAGTTCTATAAATAATTACTTTAAAAAATTAAAAGCCACTTAAGTTTATATTAAAACTGCAAATATAATGTGGAAGTCATCATAAAACATAAAATGTTGGAGATGAACTCTAGCAGACTAATCCTGGCTTTATAGTCGTTGTTCCATTTAAAAAGTATTGTGCTCTGAGAGGCCCTGTTTACCATTGAGTGAAACAAGGTACCTGACCTCGAATTGTTTATAATGTGGTGGTAGTGGTAGGGGCCACACTGCTGGTCAGGTGTGGAAGTGCCTTAAATGAGCTACGGGGTAGGGTAGAAGTTGAAAGGAGGGAGTGGTTAATTCTGACCTCAGAGTTGGAAGTGGCTTCACAGAGTGCATTTGAATCAGTGGGATAGGATTTTTGCAGGGCAAGGAAAGCACCAGGATGACATCCTCCAGAAAGAAGAGCATGGGCAACTGTGATGCTTTGAGGACATAGCTTTAGTGTTCAGTGTTGCTGGAGCATAGGGTGTGGAGCCAAAGGTAGGAGGTGAGACTGGTGAAGTAAGTGGAAGGTACACTTTTGAAACTGGTTCACATCAATATAAAGTCAACCTTAAGTGGGGTCCAGTTGTCTTCATTTCTAAATGATGGACTTTCTCAAACCCCCATCTGTGTTGACAAATGTGT